TAAAGTATTTTTTCACTAAAACTATTAGATCGATCCATTTTCTGAGGATTTTATTTTGATTCTTGTCCGAACACAGAATTGAACTAGTTGAATGGAAGGAAACTGGTCTCTAAATTAAAAGATTAGACTAAGTCCTCCTTAATCTCCACTGTGTAATGAAACATAATAAAAATGATACTTTGTCTGAAACTAGAGATGTGAGAGGACTTCAAAAAGTTCATGGAAAAATATTGTGCAGGATCTGGATTTTATGAAAATAAATTTGTAATTGAAAACTAGAAATAAAATATTAAAATAAAAATATAAAGTTATTTTTTAAACATAAGCTCCATCAAATTCAAGACACTTGTGGTGATACTAGCCATTTTGTCCATCTCTAAAAATTTGGGGGTTCTGGGAATTTAATTCAGTCAAGGTAGTTTTTTTGTTGGACTATTAACTGAAGAAAAATTGGTGTCTTTTACAGATTGTTTAAGACCAGGAAACAAAAAGAAGTTAGAAGGCGTCAAATCAGGACTATAAGGTGGATGCCCAATGACTTCCCATTGAAACTTTTGCAAAATTGCCCTTGTTTCTTAGAGAAATGAGCAGGTGCATTGTTACAGTGGAGAAAGACTATGGAAGCTTACCTGGGTGTATATTTTTGTTTTTTGTTTGTTTTTTTGCTAAAGTTTTGGCTGGCTTTCTCAAAAACATTCTCATAATAAGTAGATGTTATTGTTCTTTGGTCCAACAAAATGTCAACAAGCAAAATGCCTTGAACATCCCCAAAAATTGTTGCCATGACCTTTTCTCTTGATTAGTAAACTTCTGCTTTGACTGGACCACTTCCACCTCTTGGTAGCCCTTACTTTGTGCTTTGTCTTCAGGATCATAGCTAAGTTTCATCTCTTGTTACAATTTTTTGAAGACATGCTTCAGGATCTGGGACCCACTTGTTTAAAATTTCCATGGAGCTCTGCTCTTTTCTGTGGCTGCTCTGGGTGCTATGGTTTGGCACCCATTGAGTGGAAAGTTTGCTCATCTATAATTTTTCAGTCAAAATTGTGTAAGCTGAACCAATGCAGATGTCTATGGTTTTGGCTATAGTTTGTGCTGCTAATTCTTGGTCTTCTTCAATTAGGACAAAATAAAGTTGAATTTTTTTCCTTGCAAATTGATGTGGATAGTCTGTTGCAAGAGGCTTCATCTTCAGTATGGTCTTGTCTCTTATTAAAATGAATTGACTTTTAAAATAGGTTATCCATTTGTAAACTGCTTATTTCTTTGGGCCATTAACCCTTTAAACTTTTCATAAAACATGAATGATCTCATTGTTCTCTTATCCAAACTTTACCATGAATTTAATATTTGTTCTTGCTTCAATTTTAGTAGAATTCATGTTGCTCTGATAGGGGGTCTTTTCAAACTGATGTCTTAGTGTATCAAACTAGATCTTCTTCAGACATTTAATAATAAGTTGGTATGAGTTTATTTTAGTGCAAAATTTTTAAGGTTTGAAGAGGAATAGGATAGTTACATATCATCAAAGTATCTCCTCGGAGTTTACTTATTAATTACAAAATGAAAAGTGGAGAAGTCTGACCAACATCACCTTACTGAGCAGTCAAAGTTAACATTACCAATGATGAGATAAATTGAGATATGATTGCTGACGTGTTATACTGAGAAATGTACAACATTGTTTATGCAGTATTCCTGATAAAAAGCATAATCTGAATCTAATCAAGTGGAAACATCAGACAGAACCAAAGGGACATTCTTTAAAACAATCCCTTGGTACTTCTGAATAATTTCAATGTCATGAAAAACAAAATGTGTAGTGTCCCAGATGAAGGAGACTAACAGACATGCCAACTAAACGTAATGTGTGATCTTGAATCTGGATCAGAGAAAAAATTCTGTAAAGGACATCATTGGGACAATTAGAGGAAAATGAATATAGGCTGTATATTAGATAAGAGGATTGTATAAATATAAATGTACTGTGGTTATGTCTGAGGACATTCTTTCTCAGGAAATGAACACTGAAGTATTTAAGGACAAAGGGACATAATTCTGAAGTAACTCTTAAATGGTTCAGCATAAATATTTTGTTGTGTGAGTGTGTGTGTGTGCATGCACATGCACAGAAAATCAAAAATGGCAAAATGATAGCAATTGGGGATTACGGTTAAAGAGTACACAACAGTTCTTTGTTTCAATCTTCTGTCTTAGTCTGTTTTGTGCTGCTATAGCAGAATACCACAGACTGGTTAATTTGTAATAAATAGAAACATAATGGATCATAGTTCTAAAGGTTGGGAAGTCTAAGATAGAGAAGCTGCATTTGACGAGGATCTTCTTGCTGTATCAAAATGGCAGAAGGCATCACATGGTGGAATGGCGAAGAGAGGGGAGAAAGTAAGCAACAAATAGGGCTAAACTCATCCTTTTATAAGAAACTGACTTCCTTGATTACAGCATTAGTACATTCATAAGGGCAGAGTACTTGTGGCCTACTCACCTCTTAAAGATCCCAACTCTTAACATTGTTACAATAGCAATTACATTTCACCATAAGTTTGAGAGGGAAAGTTTGCAAACCACAGCATCTTCCACCTCTTCTGTCAGTTAGAAGTTATTTCAACATAAAAAGTTTTTATAAAGAGTGATTATTAATCACCTGCCTGAGCAAAAATGTTATCTTTGGCTTGAGTCACTCATCACAGCATAGAAAACATTTGACTTTGCCAAAATGAAGCTTATATCCCACGAGACAACTGATTGCAGAATTGGAAGATGAACTTGCAGTATTATTTGTCAGTATAATTTAGAAAACAGGGTTGGGTTTCTTAGACTCTCCCAGGTGATTGCTACCTAATATGGATAATTCATTTTATAAACATTAATGAGGTTCCAATTTTATATATCTGTATCTATAAAGACAATGTTTTCCAGTGGGGCTTGAAAATTTATATATATATATATGAAAATTTTAATCATATGTATATATATAAAGGAAATTTTCTAGCCCCACTGGAGCTACAGTGATGAGAATTTAATACAGAGAAGAGTCTCTGACACTTGTGAGGGTCAACAGCTACATAACAAAATGCCAGGATAACGCAGCAGTGAAAGTAAACATGGAGAAAAAGTTAGCAAAATTAAGACAATTTTGCAGGATGGTTTGGTGGAGTGGAATGACAATGAGGCACAAGAGTTTTCTACTTGATTGGGGTAGAAAAATGGATTGAGAGAGTACTCCAGGCAAAGGGGGCAGAGGCAGTTGGCATAAGCACTATGCCTTGGGACTTTTAAGCAATTTAGTATTGTAGAAGAAGTGAAATACAGCTTTTTTATTTTTTAGTTTGTAGCAACAAAAAAGAAATTAGTTCTCAGTTAAGTTATGAATATTTATAAGACATTAAAGTAGTACAAAATAACACTAGAAAACATCCAATACTAACTGATCCTTTGATAAACTGTTTTTATTGTGTATACATGGCATTTTATTATACATAGAATTCCTCCTTTGACCTTTGTACCTATTGCAGTTATTGTCAAACTTGAAAAACACATGGACTCTTTGTCAAGGAAAGAAATTCCCATAATTCCCAAGAGTCACATTTTCAGATGATTAGTGACTGGCATATCGCAGTTTGAGAAACACTGAGTTGAAGAATGGAAGAAAGTTTTACTTTATAAAAATGTTATTTAATTACAAATTAAAACTATAAAAGCGATATGCTGTTTTCAGGTAGCAAAATTATTTTGGCTTATCGAAATAAAAACAAAATAATCAAACGGCAAATATCAGCAAAACACTTTGTAATCTTTGAGTCAAAAGCTTAATCTTAAATATGTAAGCTCTACATAAGTTTGTAAGTAATACATTCAGACACCAATTAGTACATGGAAAAGGGCCTGAATAAACAGTTAACAAAAGATGAAATAAAAACCATAAGCATTCAAAATGTTCACCTTCAATAATAAATCCAAAAGGCCATTAAAAATGAGAGACCACTTTTTTGACCCATAAACTAATAAATACTTAAAAAAATTATAGCATGTTTTTAATAATAAGAAATCACAATCTCAATATCCAACAGTATGGAAATAATTAATTAAAATATCCATTTATGTAGTGTGACATTACTTGGACATTAAAATATTTCAAAGAACTTAATATAAATGCTTTTGCTGTCAAATACAAAAAAAAGCAATGGACAAAAAGTATAATTTCAACCTTGTCAAAATATACACAGAAGATCTAGATAAGTACACTATGGTTATAGAAGTCATTAACATATTAATGGTATAAAATGGGTGAAGAGTACATGGTAGCGCTGTACTATTTCTGCAGCTTTTCTGTAAGTATGAAATTATTTCAACATGAAAAGTTAAAAAACATACATAGAAAAAATACTGCAAGGAAAATACCAAAATGTTAGCAGTGGTTTCTGTGTGGTAAAATTGAGTAGCTATTCCCCTTCATTTAGATGATGCTTTTCTATACCTTAAATTTTTATAGCGTTATATGCTATATAATCACTTTAAAATACTTTCCCCCTAAAATTAAAACAGAAACAAAATGCTAAACTCAAAACAAAAATGTCATCCACCGCAATTTGGTAATCAGTGTGACTGCAAAACATAAAACATAAGTAAATGCTGAATGGTGCATGTGGATGGAAGATAAGATAGAATATCGTCTGGTTAGGGATGCATTTTACAGGTGGAACGTGAAGTTTGAAAGCAGATAAAGGATAAATATAAGAACTGAAATAGGAAGCTGTGGCACTAAGAATTTCATTTCAGTAAAAAGAGGAGAAAGGCTGCTTCTCCAAAGAGAGAAAATATCGGCAGTATTTTATGCAGAGAAGAGAATTAGGGTAATTCTCTGAATTTTTAGGGAGGGTAAATTATAGTAAGTTATGAGAGTATTCCCAAAAGGTTAGTTGTTAATGAATAAAAATAATTTGCTTTAGATGACCATCTTCATACTTTTTTTACCATAGACTCTTTTCTAAGAAACTCAACTTTGCAGTGATTCAGGCCCACTTCTGAAGAGACAGCCTTTTATCTCAATGAGCGACACAGGTAATCACCTACTTGAATTAAATTGCTCTTGATCTGGACTTTTGTGTCAAATATTCTTCATTGTTTAATGCTAAATAAGGACAAATAGAAAAATGAATATATGCTATGTTGTCATTGGAAATGGCACCTCAAAAACTGCAGCATGTTAGACCTTGTTGTTCTCAGCCTTTTCCTACCTTCAGATTCCTGAGATGCGTCTTCTCTTCTACATCTGGACTCCGTATAGAAGTGATTCTTGGGAACATGGCAAGCTGTGGGTATGTGGTTTGTAAAAGTAGATCCTCAGGCACACTCATGTCAATTCTGAAACTGTTCCCTTTCTCCTGCGTTGCCCTCTCTCCCTAAGAGTTATTGGAAGAACCAGAATCTTTTAGTTTTAACAGTTTATCCTAGATGATTACTGTTTAGCCCCCTTTCTCATGTTGAGACAAAATTAGAGCTTGCTCCTTAGAGAAGCGACACTGTCAGAAATTGTTCTTTGGAGAGGGAGTGTAAGGCTTTACTTCAAACTTAGCCCTGATTCAATTTGTGTCTCCATAATTAGATTTTAAGACCCCCACAGGCACAGGTTAGGTCTTATCTATCTTTTTACCTTCTTCAGACTTAGTCTTTGACTTTAGAAAACGTAGTTACTTACCAAATGTTTATTGAAAATGAATACCACTTTGTTAAGGGCAAATTGTATTCCTTTGTGAAGGAAAATCTATCTCTTGCTATGAAAAAAAAGTAAAATGTGGCATAAGTACAAATTAAAGTAGAAAATACAGAATGCATAAAGATTAAAGCTTAAAGTTAAGCAGTAGCTTTAATCTTTGGCTGAGTATATAAAAAAGATTAAGAGTTATTAAAAATAAGATCTAAAGGTCTGTTTAACAAGATTCTTAAAAGAGGAACCAAGAATATGTTTGAATCTACATATGTTCCTCAAGGCTGTAAATACATTGTACTTTATGGACTGTCATTGACAGGGGCATTTATCCAATCTTGGGAACCTATTGCAGGGAATTCTGTGTCCAAAGCCTCTGCCCTTTGACTGTGGATTGCTTCGTGTTTTTCAAATATGAAAACTGGAGAATGACATACTTAAAGGACATTTTCTTTTCTGCATACATACAGCATTATTAACATACTCACACTTATAGCAGATTATTTTAGAATTTTAAGTTTGTTTGTGCATCCATAAATAAATAATAATAATTATCTCACAGACTGAGGTAAGGATTAAATTGGCACAGTGCCTGAGTAGTACATATATGCTCAATAAATGGTGTTTTTCATTATTATTCACAGATAGAAATTCAGAAGTGTGTTACAAAATGTTAGGTGAATTTAATATGGAGTTATTAGGGCAATATCATACTTCAATATTACAGTTTAGATTGACTTATGGGAGCTGAAAAGCAAAGTGTATAACAATACTATAAGGGAAAATACTAGACATTTTAGCAACTATGTCTAACAATACTGTAAGTGAAAATACTTTCTCAATACTATACAACATGCTCTTGGAGTTTTGGAGCTGCTCGTAAGTTGGGTGTTTTCCATGTTGCTCATTTATTTATCTCTTATTTATGAATATTGGCAATTATTATACATAACCTAGAAGAGATATCACACCTATCATTAAAAAGAAATAAGCCATTGCTTTCACAGTGACATCTACTTTTTAAACATTTCCACTAATTAATGTTTCTGTTGACTTCCTTTTATTGTCAAGTAGCTTACATGTCTTTGACCTTAAGTTAATGAATGACTTTCTCTCTAGCATTTATGAGCCAGGCTCCTTGGGCTTGAGCCATTACTCAGCTCACTGTGTAAGGGTATTTACTTTTCATTTTTAAATTCCATTTTTTGCAGTTTTTACATATGCAGTGAATTAAAAACTATGTTGGCTAGAAATCTACAACAAAAATCATAGAAAAATTACATAGATCTTGGCAAAACTTTGTTCACTCATAGGACAACAGTTGGATACTTGTTGGAGTGGAACAGAAGGGCTGGCAACACCACCAGCACCACCACAATCAATAGAAAACATTCATTAAAAATAAAAGTGCCTGTGAAGCTGTGCCAGACATTATTAAAAGAGAAATACATTGAGAACAGTGACCCCAAATTACTTATACAGAGTTGGCAGATGAAAAGAATAAAAACATGAGGCTGTATCCACAGGCGTGGTTTTCATTACATGTAGGTAAGGTACAAATGGAATTTTAGCATGTGAAAAAAGGTTAATTATCTGACTAAAGTAGAGATTAGAAGTAACGTTTAGGACCTTTTATGTCTTAAACAACTGACGGATAATAATAACAATGTGACTATATTCTCTTGAATTTTCAAGGGATAGAGCATTTAAGTTTTGGTGTCCACCAGGACAGAGCCAGGAAAAGTGACAGCGGTTACTCTTTGGAATGGGTTCTTCAAAGCAGACTGAGACCCTGGGCAAGCATGGTGCATAAAACCCTGGTGCTCCTGGGGCAAGCAAATGCCTTGGACTACCTTTCAGAATGTGTGATTGGCTCCTGTGACTGGGGCAGGGGCCATGGAGGGGGACCACCAATGTGAGTGCACAGATAGCTCCCTCCAGGGCAATGTATGATTTCAGGAACAACACAGAATGCTTGGGATAACTAAGATGAGACTTGGGTAAATTAGCACTGAAAATTGCCTCAAAGAGGCATAATAAATTTTATCAGAAAGTGGTGTGAATTTTGTTTCCAAGTTTGTGTGTTAGTAACAAAGCCAATAGACATTTAAACAGGATTTGTAAGCTGACAGTTTACCCAGACTTTCTACTTTAACTTAAATTGAAGTGCTTCAAGTCGCTCATTCTTCATTTCTGTAATTGAAAAGAAGCCTTTATAATATGTCTAAAGGCACACTAAGGATGTATTTGTATTAACATCTTAATTTTTCAAAGTGCCAATAAATGCTATGCCTTATCTTCACTTTTTTCTTAGGAAATTGCCTAAAAGACAATGCTTTATTGTAAAATTTAAAAATTATATTGCAAGTATTTCCAGAGACAAGAAACTATCTAAATCTATTTCAACATCTGCATATACATCTATATCTTCATTTATATTGTATCTGTATCTATGTTTTCTAGTAGTCACACCCTCAAGCCTACTGATAGAGAATACAGAGGTTGAGATGTTTAGATGCTGTTACTAAGGTTAAAATTATATCATAGTTAAACATACATACACATTAAAAAGACTGTAATAAATGAAGATAAAGACAATAAACTCTTTTTTCTCCTACCCTTAGACAAACATAACTAATCAAGATCCATCGGTATATTCTTGGATTTTCTATTCTACTTCTGTGGTTGGTCTCATCCTGTAGCAGTGTTGGCATCAACGCTGGAATATTACAGAGAAGTTAGCATAGCCCCTTGCAAAGATGCCTCACAAATTTGTAAACTTGCCATATTTTTGTATAGTTCATTACTTCTTTCTTGGGGTTCCCATAGCACATTGTATGTTTATTAGCTGCCATCTTACTGTATTATAATTATTTGTTTACTTCTCAGTCCCCCTCATAAAACAGAATTGCTAAAGAAAGAAATTATTCTTCATATTTATAGTGGTCATCACAGTGCCTAGATTCTAAAAATCATTCAGAAAATGTTTAATAAATGAAAAAAGTTTTATACTTTATGTATAAGAAACAAGCAACAATTCTTTATATACATTATGCCAAAGCAGAAATGGATTCTGAAACAATTTCTTCCCTCCTTACCACCTTGTCTTCCCAGTGGCAGAAATTCAATTTTAGTGTGATACCCACTGGCCACCTCCTGCTGATAACTCGTGGACACAGTGCAGTTTGATGATGGGCAGATGGACAAGCCTGCTGTTGTCCTTGACCCTACTCTTTTAGATGCATCAAACATGCATTTCTTTCTCTCCTCCTTTTTCAGGATTGTACATACTTGAGTCTAAAACTGAATAGAATGATATATTTGCAATATATATCATTGCAATACATAAGCAGGCCCTGAAGACAGGTAAGCAAAAATACTTTGAGAGATACATGCTATTTAACAAAAAAGAAGCAGACTCAGTGGAAAAGAAACCATGACACATTGCTGTTATTCAATTGATGAGGAATAGATTTTCTCTCTTTCTCTTCCATCATAGTGAGATAGAAGAGAAATAAATTTACATTGGAAGAGAAATAAAGTTACAATATGTTTCTGGAAAAGGAGATTCAGATTATGATACCAATTTGAACTGTTCAACTAGATGATTGCACAGAGTTATAATTCATTCAAATCTCACATATAATTACATACATAAATAGTAGTTGCTTCAAATGAGCAATACAAACAACAGTTGCATAGGTAAGACACTGGTATGTTGCTTAAGTTTTTAAGCTATATACAATATTCAAAATGATTTGGCATAGATATTTTCTTTACTAGTAAAAAGAAAATGGAAGAAGAAAATAATAATTATTTAGTTCTTTATCGTGGGCAAGGTATTTTTATGAAGACACTTTTTCTATGTTTTTTAATGTAATTCTCAGGCCTCCACTGTGAAATTAGTTTTATTATGATTATTTTTAAAAAGAGAAAAGTTAGACTGAGAGATATTATGTAATTTGCTCAAGGTTGTAGAGCTGAGAAGTGACCAGACTATAATTCCAAATCAAGTCCTTTCTACTCTTAAACTTATTTTCTACCTACTTTGTTGGATTTAGAAAGCATATAGCCATTTCTCAAGGAATTTTTTTTTTTTTTTTTTTTTGGTAGACATGAGTTCTTGATATGTTGCCTAGGCCAGTCACAAATTCCTGGGCTCAAGCAATCCTCCCACCTCTGCCTCCCAAAGTGTTGGGATTACAGGCATGGACTACTGTTCCTGGCCTCAGATTTTATTATGAAAGTGGTAATGTTTTAAAGGATTTCCGGTAATTGTGAATGGTGTGTTCGATGCCAACTACTAAAAATGTTTCTGCTGAGTGAGTTGGGGGAACTTGTACTCTTTTCCAGA